GGGCCCCTGTCACTCAGGGGCCCTTGGAATCGTCCTAGCTTTCCTCCCCCTTACGGCGCCCCTGCTTTCCGATGTACAAAGGCTAGACATCTGTATCGAGTTGTTTGTGAAGGAACTGGCTGATATACAGGTACATCTCAAAAAATTAGAATATTGTGAAAAAGTTCAATATTTCTTGACATTCCTTTCAGAAGGTGAAATTCATATATTACAGTATATAGATTCATTACACATAGAGTGACATATGTCAAGCCTTTATTTCTTGGAATTTCGATGATTATGGCTTACAGATAATAAAACCCAAAATTCACTGTCTCAGATAATTAGAATATCACATAAGATCAATTTAAAAAAGGATATTTTAAACAGAAATGTCAAGCTTCTGAAAAGTATGTTCATTCCTATGCACTCAATACTGTGTCAGATACAGTACAATACGTAAGTATAGGTAAACAGGTGGGAATCAGGCCTAAATCCCTAAACCCACAGGTACATTCCAGCTAAGGAATGCTGCAGTGCAAGTTACGTCTCTCACAGCACTGCACTGTCTGACTTTTTAACCATAACAACTTATCAGAATTGAAAAAGTGATCAAAATGTTCTGCTGTATTTACCAAAACCCCAATTTGTTTCCATGATTAGCACCATCTACATTTCATATGTTTCAGTATTCCGTATTCATAACTAATCCATTGTATTCAAACAAATATCTTGTGTACTGTATGTAGCCATACACCTCTGTTTGTCTGAGTCTGACCACAATTAAAAAACCCACTAGACTTACTCTGCATGCTGAAGTGTAGATCTTCAGGCTATAAAAGTCCAAACTGGCTGTACAGTTAAGTGTTCAGTCTCAGGCTGCCTGCTCTCTTCTCAGCCTTGCTTCTTCCTAGAGTGTCAGTACCTTCCCTTTTCACCTTGCTCTACCTCCTGCTCCCTCTCTCTCTCTCTCTCTTTCTTCTTCCTTCTCTTAGAATAGTTCAAGTCAGTTTGTAATTTTATTTAAATCAGTAAAAGGATAATCGCTTAATGTCAGTATTCAGATACTATATCAGTATAGTATCTGAGTATCAATAACCACCACTTAAGAGCTTTAAATCACTGTTACACCTTAAATAATTGGAAACACCTTACATTCCACTTATATTCTATTTTCTATTTATCATTTATTTATTTACACACTCTGCCAGGCCAATGGTGAGCAAAAATGCAACGAAATTTCGTTCTGATGTGCACTAACCGGTGTATTTCTGAATGACAATAAAATTAGCTATTCTATTCTATTAGCTACATTATGCATTCATAGAACATTCAGTGCACTTTCATAATGTGTTAATAATGCATTCGTAGAACATTCATAATCAGCATAAATGTATACCTTAACATCCTAACATACCAGCTTTAACCTACGTTAAATAAAACATTATACAATTATGCAATTATAATGTTTGTTATTAAATTATGTAAAAGCTTTTAAGGTATGATAGGATGTTATGTTACATTTATATGCTATTTATGAATGTTCTATAAAAGCATTATAAAGGCATTATGAAGGTGCAGTCAATGTAAAACATTACTAAATAATTTTAATGATTCCCTGCTGACTCCATAAAATGCAGCTTCACTCCTAAAAATACAGCTGTCTGTTCATGTATAGTTATATAGTTATGGAAATAATATGGAAATAAGGAAGCGAAATTTTACTGGTGGAAAATGTTGCTTTTAGGAACATGTGACACTGTGTCATCTTCCTGCTAATGTTATGGAGGTAAACTGGTTCTCCCAGCAGAGCCGTGCAGAGGCTGTCTGAGGGGCTGCCCAACGGCACCGAGCAGGAGGACAGGGGCGGCAGAGGAGCTCAAAAGTAAAGGAGGGTCCACTCAGAGAGGCACTTTAAACAGTCTGGGCAAAAGGAGCAGGTGCTCATGCAACCCCCCCCAATACACATAAACCAGCCTCCCAGTCAGCTGGTAATACCTGTTCTTTCTGTAGAATTCAGTTCCTTTTTGTCATGCTCTGTACTTGTGTAATATTGAAGTATATGTTCTTAAGTATGTTTAGTCGCGAAAAAAAATCCTAGAAATTTAAATGTTTTTAGTTGCCAACCCTGGAGTCCAGAGATGCCGGCATTAACCACTGTACCACTGTGCAAGTATTTGAAGATAGAGTTATATTTAAAGTTATACAACTAAAACGTTGTAAGAAAGTGTAGTGCGTGAATGTTTTCTCAGTGTGTTGCTGAGTCAAGTGAGTCAGTGATGGTCAATGGCACAACATAGCATCTGTGTTCAGGACCGAGGCTGGTAACACCATTCAAATCTACAAACAGGTGGAAAATAACATACAGGATAGCCGGACTGTGTGCTTGTAATCACAAGGTCGCCGGTTCAAACCCAGCCTCAGCATGTCTGCGGGTCCTTGAGCAAGGCCCTTAACCCCCAGCTCCCTGGGCGCCCCAACAGGTGACTGCCCTTCACAGACAGCTTGTTCTACAAAGAGCAAGTTGATGGAGGTGTAAAAGGAATTTCCCCATGAGGGACAATAAAGGTTAAATTAAAAAACATCTTGAGCCTTTCCCAGGAAGCATAAGAAAGAGAAGCCCTGGGACAAGATGCACCATAACCCTTACCCCATAAAAGTACACTAAGGACAATTCTGAGACGTCGATTCCAATGAACTGCATGTTTCTGGGAGTGCAGGAAATAAGCAGAGTACTTGCGGCAGACCAACACAACCACAACCAGAACATGCAAACTCCGCACATATACTGTCAAACCTACAGCCAACAGGAGCAAGACTGTTGCACCATTGCATCATCCCCGTACTCTATGTTAAGAAATGAGTTCAAATGATAACAAGCACACCACCAGTGGGATCACATTCTGCCCATTCAGAGTCAGTTCTGCCTGTCAGACAGAGAAGCTCCTTGCTGGTTACCATGTGTACTGTCTGGGATGTATAATGCCTTTGTTTCAGGTATTAAGTGCAGCACTGTCTCAGTCTACAGTTTCTTGCTCTTACCTGTGGTTTTGGATTTTAAACAGCACAATGCAACATATCAGGATTAGAGATGAAATGTTTTCTCTTTTCATGGATACAGGAATGAGAGTTAGTTTTCTTTTGAAATTTTAAAAAAGAAAACTAATTTGGGTGTGGACACCATGTCAGAAGGCTGTAAGAGAAAGAACACATACAGGGCTGCAAACAAAATAATGAGCCCAATATTATCTCTCACCTGACCTTCAATGCCCCTCCCAACAGGCTTTTACATGGTTAGGTGAAATAACACGTCTAAGCTGCCTATGATGTGTGTGCCTTGCCATAGACTAGCAGCCTGTCCATGACATTCCTGGGCTCACGCCTTGTGTATCCTGGGATAGGCTACAGGCGCATCTCCACCCTGTACTGCATCTCAGTCACGAAAGACAGATTTATGCTTAAATTCAGGTATCTGTCAACTTGCGTTCATATCTGGGACTGGGACCACCAGTCGCAAGTCAATTTGGGTGTATCTCAATAGTTATAGGGGGGAGGCAAGACATTAAGTACAGTACTGTAATATACACAAAGTACTCCATGGTGAATAATAAATTAAATAAATTTATATATATATAAATAAATTTGTAAATAAAAAAAATCAAAACATAAAATAAAAAGCAGTACAGCAGTACAACTGCTAACATCCATTTTCAGGTGTCTCTCAATCAGTGTATATTTACTATGGACCTTGGACATAAATGCAATCGGATATGACTTGATAGGACAGTATCAGTATCAGTATTACATATCATTCAGTACCTGCAGATACAAGTGAATTTTGAGTTTCACACCAAGGAACTCACAAATAGAAACTGATCATGGAAGGGGATTTATAATCTTAAGCAGTGTGTGGTTGTATTTTTTAAATGTTTTTTTTTTTTTTTAAATAGTGGAATGCATCCTTAAGTATGTGATTATTTTTTTTATTACTTATTTACCCCCACAAACGTATAGTGGATAAGCAGTTGGAAGATGGATATATCATTTATTGGTCTTTCACTTACAAGCAAAAACTAAAGAAAAACAATTGGTTAATTAATATTAAAGACAATCATAAAAAGAAATTGTGAATGATTTGTGAAAGACAGAATTCAAAGCAATTCAGCAGGAAACAAAACACTCTGGAACAACTGTATTTACAGATAACTTTTTGTTTGTTTTTTCCTAAAGGACTATTTAAAAACTTCAGTATCAGATTATTTACATTTACTATATATTGCAACACTAGATAGGCATATTGAATTGTGTTTGATTTAAAAAACACACAATTGCAGATATTTGCAGCTGTAATAGCCATTTCCTTTGTAAATGTTAAACACACACAAGCTAATATCTTTTGTCTTCAGTAATTTATATATTCATCTCTTTAACCACATTCTAAATTCATCCCTTATTCAGGTTATTCAGGAACTGTGAGAGAACACATTTAACGCACTCCATGCTCACCATTTATTTTTCACAGCACGATGATTTTATCTGCACTTACTGCACTAAATAGAAACTGAGCAACTGAAATATACTTTGCCTAAATCGGAACTCTGGAAAATAAGCAGGAAACAAAAATCATTCAGTGTCGTGAACAGGAGTTATGATCAGTGGGGCTGAATTGTCCTCATCCCACTGGAATGGGGGTATGAAAAATGGATAGATCTCCTTTTTGAATTTCAACTCAAAGAAAGAGTAAATATAAGACTTTGCCCCCACATTGTAAAAGGAGACATACCCCTCTCCATAATCCACAAATATCCCCACCTTCTCAGGCTTTTCTTTCACATAGAGGTTAATGCAGTGTTTACCAAAAGTCTGGTACCTACCTTTACTCAAGCCTATACCCCAGGAAAATTCAGATTTCTTCCCATTTGTGACCGCTACAACCCCTAATGCCCATTCAGTCTTCTTCCCAACCACCACCTCCCAGTAATGTCTACCTGAGGTAAACCCCTCCTTCCCCCGAACACCTAACCGGTTTAAATTAACCAGTAAGTTATAAAAGAATGAGTAATCAATTCCCTGCTTATTGCCTCTATATGTGACTTCTTTCCCATCCTCAGAGATGATCAGCCCAGCTTGTGCTGTATCAGGATCCAGGGTGACATCAGCTGTTTGGGAAAGAAAAGGACAGGGAAATTGTGCTGTGCAAAAAAGTACTTTACACATGAGCAGATTAGTACAGTGATTGCTTTAATGATGAATGTGAATACAGTGCTATGGGTTTGTAATTAATTAAACTAAAGTTATTCACTGAAAAGCAATAAAATCAATCTGGGGTGCATTTCCAAAATGCATAGTTGCTGATTACATCAGCAATTTACATAGGTGGAGCCATGCAATTGAACAGGTCTAACTATGCAAGTTGTTAACAGCAGATTTTGGGAAACGCACCCCTGATTGCTGGAGAATAATATCATTACTATGAAAAGTCCAATAGAGTTCTTTGACCCAAACACAGAACACAAATTATTGCAAAGACTATATTAACTCTGGAAGGCACAATTAATTCTTTCCCAGGAATAAGTAAATCCTGCTTGTACTGTAATGCTTGACAAGTGTTGATTATGACCCAAAATGACACATTCTTTTAGCATGCATGCCCTCGAGAGCTGTAGGATTATCAGCTATCATGGTGGTGTTGGTGCATCCATCAGACAGACAACTAATCCCTTTACATGAATTCTCTATCAGTTTCATAGGTTTGAGCTTCACTGTAGCAAATGCCTGATCTGAGTGAAAAACCAATAGCTTCACCTGCTTCTTTTCGGTTTGCTTCAAAGTCTGTGGAGAAAAAAGCATAGAGTGATCAATGAGATGGCTAAGGTATGCAATATTTAACATATCAGATATACTTATAAAAGAGAGGACAGTAACACAATATTTGAATCACATACTGACTGTGAAATAAAAGTAAATTAATACTAATTAACTGTAAAAAGTATATAATAGAAGTATATAACAATGGGAACAATGAGGACTTTTTGTTTCGTTCACAAGCACAGAGCCTTAACCCACTGAGCCAAACGCTGCAGTACTTAAAAACAGACAGGAGCAGCGTGATTTTGTATTGTAGGTCATTCAATAGCTGGGCCAATTCTTCACACAGTTCCAGCAGAATTGCTCTTGACAGTCTAAGATGGCTGATAAGCTACAAATCTTTATTAACAAGCAATTACCGATAAAGATTTCACTACTGCATGTGACAAACTTAAAGATGGGCCTTTTTTACACCTAATACAGTAACTGTACGTGTGGGTGCACACGTGTTGGTGCCTATACAGATTTTTCAGTACATACACCTCTAACTTAGATTGTCTGCAATAAAAATACTGGTATGTATAAAGCCATTCATTTAAAAAATAAAACAAATGCTAAATGTTAGTTGATATAGTAAATATAGTAAAAATGTTCCAGAACTTTGGTGTGAAAGTCCACAATTATGCACGTATGTTACAGACCTCTCAAATTTAATGATGTATGAATTGGAAATACAATTTGTGTATATCTGAAAGGGGGGAATAGGAAACGTTTTTAATTTTAAAAGATGAAGGATATATGGGACAGAGTACATCATCCCAGCTGCGCCAGTAGTTCAAAGTGAAATCTTACACTTGGAAATGGAACTTTAATACAGAAGAACAGCAAACAACAATCTAGCACCATGGAGAGTTTATAAGCAAACTTGCAGCATCAATGATGTATTACCTGAAATACTGTTACTTTATCATCTACATTAAAAATATATATATAATTTGCAAGAATAGATTAGCTTAGTGGAAGTGGAGATATTATGGCTCATAGAGGCCCTCTCATTGGTCTCCAAGCTATTACCTCACCATAAATAAAGCGTCTGTAGCTACTGAAATTTGAATTCATGAAATGTTCCATTGTTACATTAGTATCTATTTCTAAATCCTGTACAGCACATGTTAGCATGCATAACAGATATAGTATCAGGGCTGCATTCTGTACATTCCAGCTCAGTATCTTTTTTCCCCTTTGTGTTTAATTAATTTAACTCAATATTTATTAAACATTTTCCAGAGCTGCAGTAAGTGTGTAGCAGGCTATACCATCGATGTTTCTGCAAGTATACTCTTTGATGTTTGTATAATGATGAAATGGCCAAATGACACATTACTCAGAATGTATCCCCATCATTACGCAACATAAATACACATACAGAACCTACCTAGTATTTTTGGGAGGTGACCTGTTGAAGAAAAGATGTTACACAGTGCTGATTGTTGTAGCGTATTCAAGAGAATTTACTTTAGTAGCTTCGATGTTCCACTGTTCCAGGTTTCTTCTTATGCACGAATGCACAGAATATTTAAGTCTGAATCCAAGTGTAAGTATTAGAAGTATGTGCATTATATAGGAAATCAAAGCATAGGGCTGAGTTGAGAAAAGCACAACATAAGAAACATAAGAACATAAGAACATAAGGAATTTACAAACGAGAGGAGGCCATTCGGCCCATCAAGCTCGTTTGGGGAGAACTTAACTAATAGCTCAGAGTTGTTAAAATCTTATCTAGCTCTG